TATACTGGAGAGGGAACTCAAATCTTAATGCAAAATTCATTTATATTTCAGATACACATTATATACACAGCCTGAAGATAATTCTATACAGTATTTCTAATACCTTTTAGACATGAAACAAAATGTATGTATCATGAAGAACCAGAAGGCAAAGGTGTCATTATTTCAGTCACTCATGTGGACAATTTTGAATTCTGGAATTTTTCAGAACTTGAGACAAAGTATGCTTTACTGTAGTACTAAAAAAAATGCCAGAAGTTGCTTACCTCCTCTCATGTCTTGTGCAACTGACTTTCTGTACATCCTATTCTGGAAGAACAGTTACCTTGAGTGACAAATGGGATAAAGATGTGCTGAGGCTCAGAGTTCAAAGACATGCCCCCCTGTGCCTAGTAATGCATGGAGACTTTGGTAACTGGCAAAAGCTAACCATACATTGGTTAAACAGACTCAGACTTTTACAGTGTTTAGTAGATCACTCACCAAGTTGAAGCAGGAATCTCTCATTGCCCCTCTGCCCCATTTCTTCCCAGTCCTCATTCTCTCCTGCTCTAAAGCATAGATATGGCCTTAATATTTCAATTATCTTCCATCCATCCTGCTTACAAGTGATACACATGCAGGTTAGTTCCAAGATGAAAACTTCAACAGGAGTATATTGGGTTTAGGTAAATTTGCAAAATTTCACACCAAACCACTTGAAATCTACATCCTTTCCTGATTATGTTAATTAAATTGATTTTTGATATTAAATGCTTTTTTAAGTTACAGCAAAGTGCTGTTTGGTCCAATGAACTGAGGTTTTTATTTAAAGAATTTATGAGCTACTGGACACATGCCTTAAAGTAGGGGAGTCAAACACAACGCCGGAGTGCCTTTTCTGGCTCTAAGCAACATCACCAACCAGACAAACTACAAACCTAGATTCAGGGCTAGGAAGCAATGCCCTTATTTAGGCCAAGAGGTTTGCACAGGGTGGCTGCTGCCAAGTGATGCCTCTGCATCACCATTTTTTATTGGCAAAGCAAGGCCCACTCTGCATTGGACATGAAATTTGCTAACATTATTTGTTCTTATTGAAGCAGCCTTGCTAACCCACAAGAGCCTCCAGCACAAGAATAAAACAAGCACATTCTTTACAGTCAGGATTGCTGCAATTTGTACACAATGACTCTTTAACAAGCACAGAAGGGCTGGCTGGCTAACAAAAGCACACACAAACAATCCATGCAGTCTAATGTTGTCAACTAAAATAAGGGACAGTGCTCCTGTCCTTTTAATGGCTGTGCAGAAGAATTTCAGCAGATGATCCTTGGTTGCAATGTAATAGCTCTTCTATAAACCATTCAAGTGACAGCAATCCTTTCCTTTCTTTCACCTGGCAACTTTGCTCTAGTCCTCCTAATTTTGAAAGGTCTGCTTATGCAATGTGTGTCAAAATAATTTGGACAAATGTTAATACTGAGAGAAAATACCTTGCAGGTGAGATTATTTTTCATGTAATAGCTGTTTAAGACTATGATGAAGACAACAGAAATGGTGAAGTGGTTCTAATGTGGGCCGACAATAGTAAAATGAGCCTCTTCCATGACAGTAAATTACCACCATCATTTAATAGTGGTCAATGGAAGTATGGTCAATGGTCTGATTTTTGTAAATTAATTAAAACCAATGCATTAAAAGGGTATTAAACCCAATACCTAATATTCAACACAGACCAATATGCTGCTTAGCATATGCAGCTGTAAGACCAAAATGTGTCCCTTTCTGCAGAAGTTATAATTTCAATAAAGCTAACTGGACAAAGTTTACAGAGAACTTGGAAGTAGCTATTTCTGATATAGAACCTTCTATAGAAGACTATGACCTGTTTGTAGAAGCTGTGAAAAGAACCTCAGGCCTCTCAGTCCCTAGAGGCTGTCACACAAGCTACCCAACAGGCCTAAATTAAGAATCACTAAATCAGCTACAGGAGTATCTCGGACTATTTCAAGAAAATCCATATTGCCATGAGACTACAGCAGCAGGCCAAAAATTATCTACAGCCATAGTTAAGGCTAAGAAAGACTGCTGGACAGAGTTGCTTGAGAAAAATGATGTGGGCAAGAGTAGCCGAAGAGCCAGGCAATTGCTTAGACACCTGAATAGTGACTTTCTGGTCAACTGGACATGCAAACATAACACCAGATCGGATAGCACACCAACTAATTCAGAATGGGAAAACCAACCACAGCAGAGTAAAGCTGAAAATCAACAGGGTGCCAGAACTTGAAACCCACCAGTTGTCATCTCCCCTAAACCTGAAATAACTCAGAAAAGCCATTAAGCGATGTAAAACTGGTAAAGCACTTGGTCTAAATGACTTAATGATGGAGCAAATCAAACACTTGGGCTCCAAAGCTGAAAACTGGCTTTTGAAATTTTACAATCAATGCTTGGCACACAAAGAGATTCCCAGACTATGGAGAAAACTAAGATCATTGCCATTTTAAAACCTGGTAAAGATGCCTACAATGCCAGGAACTACTGACCAATCTCTCTCTTATGTCATCTATATAAAGTATATGAGAGGATGCTATTAAATTGATTTGGACCTGTTATTGAACCCCAGCTTATTGCACAAAAGCAGATTTCAGACCAGGGAAAAACTGAACAGCTCAAATTCTTAATTTGACTGAATATATCGAGGAAGGTTATATGGTTGCATTATGGGAACAGTTTCTGTGGGCCTTACAGCAACCTATGACATGGTGCAACATAAAAAATGCTGCATAAAGTCTATTACCCGGAACTGTGATTTTTACAAAAACTATCCAGACCCTACTAGAAAAGCACAGCTTCTATATGGAGTTTCAAGGCAAGAACAATAGATGGAGGAGGCAAAAGAAGGGTTTCCCTCAAGGCAGCATTTTTTCACTGACCTTGTTTACTAATGATCAGCCACAACCACCACTCACAAAGAATTTTATATATGCTGATGACCTTGTCCTAACAACACAAGCAAAAGACATTGAAACAGTAGAAAACCAACTTACTAATCCCTTGAAAAATCTCTCCATGATGCCAACAGGAAACTGAAAGTTACCTGGGAAGGTCAAGAGCTCAAACATTGTTCCCATCCTAAATATCTCGGCACCAACTTAGATCGGACACTAACATTTAGGAAATACTGTATGAACACCAAGCACAAGGTAGCTGCAGACAATAACATCCTGTGGAAACGTACTGGTGGTGCATGGGGTGCAGACCCAAAATAAATGAGAACATCAGCCCTGACTGTGTATTTCTCAACTGCTGAGTATGTCTGCCCTGTTTGGCACAAGTCTGTCCATGCAAAGCAGGTGAATATAGCACTGAACGATGCATGCAGAATAATCACAGAATGTCTCAAACCTACATCTGTTGATAACTCTATAAGCTAGCTGGCAATAATAATAATAATAATAATAATAATAATAATAATAATACTTATGCCATTTTGGAACAGAACAAACAACTCAGCATCTGTATGCTTGCCCACAATGCCTTGCCTCATGCGCAGTGGAAGAGGTCTTTAAAGCTACAGATAATGTGGTTGCTGCTGCCCATTTTTGTTCTAAAATTATTTAGCCGCTTGTACTCCCTCTATTTTATCAGTGTGAAACTTGGTTACTTATGCAATGCTTTTGACATGAAGTAAAAATAAATAAATGCAAGAGTGAGACAAGTGAAGATGTATGATTCTCTGCAGGTGTAAGCAACCTGGTGCCCTACAGTGACGCCAGCCTATAACCCATCACCAACCATTGCCCATGGAACAGGACCTCCTTGGCCATTATTAACCTACCTAGAATTTCTTGAAATTAGTAGCATAAATGAATTTGATTCACATGGACTCATAAAATGTATACCTCCAGAAGCACTAGTTTGCAAAGTAACTTTGAACTCCACTCAAACCCTTAGCAAACTCCCTTTGCCTTGACCTTATTCTCCACTTTAAGGTTAAACACATGTAAAATAAAATGAGGACTCTCAGCAAGTTCTGGGATTGTAATGTGAGCTCAGCTCCCTCCTGGTTTTGCAATTTGCATGATGAATGAACACACCAGCAAATCAAATGCCCGTTCACAATCAATGTACAAAATGCTTCCCCATGGCAATTTTTTTAAAAAAAAGAAATGCTAAGTAAATGCAAAGGTGCTCTGGAAATGCAGCTGGGTTGGAGAAGTTCATGAGATCAGATGCTTGACAATCAGCCCATCTGGAACTTCCTTCTGTTATAAATTCAATCCCTCGTACCCCCCTCCCAAATTCAACCCTGAAATTGAAAAGGTATGTCTGAACTAAATGTACAGGGTGTTCAAAAAGGTGGACCCAATTTGAAATAACTATATCTCGTGAAACACCAACTGCCCATGAATAGAATCCTTACCACTTGAAAGTGTGGCGCATAAGAATTTCAAATTATTGCTGCTTGATGTCTCTCCCAGCATACAAATAGCCCCTAGTCTCAATCATTTGCAAGTTGGTGACACGGCAGCATAACGTCTAATGTGATATTCTCAACTTGTGGGGTTATTTTGTTTAGCCTTGTTTCTGGCTCATGGTTGTTAGTAAACTTGATAATTCATTAAGCCATTTGGAATTATTTGTGCAATTGTAACACATTGTCACTGCTTTGAAACTGGGTCCATCATTTTGAAACACTCGATACTGTGATCATTTTTGAACCAGTCCAATTGCACTAGAAATAGCATATCGATCTTCCGAGCCACAAGTATGATATTTCTAGCAGGGCCTCACTTTTGGGTGCTGCCAACCCATGTAATATGTCTTAAGAACCACAAAAAAATCTCAAATGTAACCAGCCTTGTGCTGCTGTTAAGAATTCCCCTTCTTCAATGCTTCACAAAGTTAAACCCTTGGCTTAGTATGATTTTACTCACCTGAGCTTTACCTTGATGAAAGAGATTCTGCTCATCAATCTGGGACATAAAACAAGACACAAAAAACAACCAGAATCTTTTCTGAATGAATTTATTGTTTTTGAACTAAAGTTGCTCACAGTTATTTAACAAGGTATACATCAGAAGGTTCTTCTTTGTCCATTTGAACTGTTAAACAATGTCAGTTTGTGTCTGCATGTGTGCATATGTATTTGTGTCTTCAAAGTACAAAATAGGAAGGATAACAAGAGGTATTGCTTTCATTTATTCTTATGTCTTGTGTAAGTAATTCCCTTCCTGCTTGTACCATGTGGGTTTTGCTGTATTATTATTATTATTAGAAGTAATAGTATAATTCTATATTGAAATCCCAGCCTTTTGTAGAGGTACAATGTAACAGAAGCATCAAAATCTATACACAAGGGAAGAGAAAAAAGGGGGAAAGGCTGAGGGTGGCAGAAGGGAAGCTCAGGGAGAGGGAAGGAGACAGTGGAGGCAGAGAAGACAACAAAAGCAAAAGAGACTAATTTACAGCAATATCATGCAATTAAAACTGCCCCCAATTTGCTGGCATCCTCACCTCCCTCGTTCCCCAGCCATCACCCTCCCAGTGTCCGACATGCACCCAGCAATACAAGAGAAAAGGGTTTTTTTCCCAGACCAGGAAAAACAAACAAAAAGCACCCTCCCGTGTTTGTCTCTCTTTTAAAAAAAGATTTTTTTCTTCTTCTTCAAACCTATGTACAATTAAAAAATGAACAGGTGCAAGACAGACCACATAAATAAATAAATAAATAAATAAATAAATAAATAAATAAATAAATCCATAAACAACCAAGACAAAAAAAGGAGAGTGGAAAGAAAAGTCCAGAAATAAAAAAATAAAAGCACGAGAGAGGAATCTAATACTATCATTAAAAAGTCTTGCAGAATAACATACACTCATAGGAACAAACAAACAAACAGCAATTGAAGGTCATAAGGGAATTAATTGAACATTAATACTAAATCTACATTTTAAAACATATCGGTAAAGGAGAATTTCTCCAGCTGTTATTTGTCTCTGACACATGATCATGATTTTGAAAATCTTTGAATGTGGGCCGAATTCAGGTACATTGGAGAGAGGAAAAGAAAGGAGAAAAACACAGGGGGAAAATATTGAAATACTGGTAACAGGAGCGGATTTAGTGGTCTTGCCATCATTCTTCCCACCTTCCACAAATAAATAATAATCAGTGTCACCTCTACACTGTAATGAAAGCAGAAGGTATCTAATAGTTTATTTTTTAAATATATATATATATTTATATATGCATTATAAATAATAAGAGACCTAATAACTTAAAACACACACTTGAAAGTTCCATCCCACCCTCCCTTTTTGAAAAAAAAGTTTATAAAAATATCTTGCAATACTTTTAAAAGTTTACAGTAGCTTTGTGTTTAACTCGCCCATAGTGCTATCTCCTCCGTAGCTTGCTCCAATGAATGAAGTATCAAATAGTTGCACACACACTGACACACACAGGAGAGGGGGGAAAGGACTCTCGTTCCATGTTCTTCTTTTGCATTAAAAACACACATACACACACGCCCGAAATGAATAAATAAAACAATAAATAAATACATAAATAAACCCAGCAAATAATAATAATCATAATACTGATATATCAATGCAGCACTAAGAACACAATAGTTGCATCCAAATGCATGATGCAGCAGAGAAGTCATCTGGCGGAAGAAAATCCCGGTGTGGAAGGAAGGAACTAAGGGAAGAAGGGAGGGAATTGCAGACAGGAGGAGGAACAGCGGTGGTGGCAGCAGCAGCGGTGGCAACAGCGAGTGGCAGCAGAAGAGATTGTCCTCAAACAGGTGGATTCTCATACCTCCTCCTCACTGCCAAAAGGTGCCTTTCCCCTAAGTTTCAGTGTTCATATTTAATTGACTTTCATCTTGTAGTTTTCCCTAAGTTTGTGTCCTGCCCCTTCAGCAGGTTGAAAAAAGGAAGTTTTAGGATTATAAAAACACAAACACAATTTTAAAAAATAGAGTTGAAGGGGAGTGGAGAAAAGAGACAGGAAAACAAAAGAAAATTGAGGACAAGTTTCCTCGGGGTGGGGTGGGACTTCTTAATGTCGAATGAGAACACTGCCTGAATATGTCAGAATATTCCCCCCTCCCAGCCACCGTAGTCTGGATTCGCCCTGTTGAGGATGGGCAATGATGCCACTCCAGTAACTCCAACTGTGAAAAATTGTGACTGAGCAGTTCTCCAGCGCAGAGCACCAAAAGAAAAGTGTGTGTTGAGGGCAAGTGGAAGGGAGGAGACTCATTTCCTGCAGTGAGAGAGGGAAGGCTGGGAGTCCCCAAACAGAACCAGTCCGTGGACAGTCTTACATCAGTAGCCTTCCGTGAACAAGCAATCGCAGAGCACAGAAGGTGAAGCTGCTGGCTGACATGTTAACTTTTCGGGATAATTCCTGGTAGCAGAGTGGAAACAAGTGGTGGTGGTCAGAAACTCAGAGAGAACGAAACAAGAACAAAATAGGAAGGGAGGATCAGGAGGGAGGGAAGCAAGTGAAAAGAACTGGGAGATGAAAAAAGCAACCCAAGATTTGTCAAACTGGGTTTGTCATCCTTGCTACCTTTTTTTCTTTTCTCGTTGCTTTTGTGTTTTGCTTCAGAGATAAATATTATATCATATAAATATATATGTGTATGTGTGTGTTTTATCTATATCTATATATGTATATATATATATACAGTCATTCCTTCTTACAAAAGTTGTCTATAGACAGTTTTGTACTGTTGTAGCAATATATATACATCATCTATTTTAGAGGCTAGCTTACTAAAGAATACCCATTCATTTAGGGTTGGCTTTGTATTTTTTTTTTGTTATTTAATCTGTTTTTTTGTTTTTTAAAAAAGCATTTAAGGTTGGTCTTGTAGGCCGAGTGACGAGACCATCTTTGCCTTCTCTTTGCCAGCAGGGTATTTAGTGTCTCCTCTAGACCCATTGTCATTAGTATCGGATTCGCTCCGCTTGCTGTTTGCGCTATGCTTGGTTGGCGTGCCGGGGGGGTGGCTCACCTGCCCGTTCTTCTCGTCTGAAAAAAGTTGTTTAATTACGTCAAAGAAGTTACTCAATGGGCTGCCTGGGTATACAAAACAGAGGAGACAAAAAGAAAACAAAGAAAGCAAGAGAAAAGAGAGAGAGAAAAGAGAGGAGAGAGAGAGAAGAGAACAACAAACAAATGAACAATGGGGTTTTAAACAAGAAGAACGTGATGAGCGGTCCAGAGCCACGTGCATGGGGGTGTGTGGAGGATGAAGACAATGAGCAGAAGAGGAAGAGCATCAGGATGGGAGCACTGCACTGCCTAGCCGTATGAAAACCCTGGGGACAAGAATGCCACATTTGGTGGTTGGCATCAGCTATGTTAAAGCAACTTGCAAGAGTGGAACATTTGCCTGTGAAAGTAGCTGTGTGGTGAAAGACAGGCTGACACACCGATGAATGTCAAAGCACACTTAGTGTAAATACCAGGCCTATATGGAATTCCTCTGAAAGTATCCTAAGTGGAGCTATTCAAGAGTAATTGTATCTCACTGCTAGTGATGACTAGAATTAGACCTACTGGGTGACTGGCACTTGTGAAGTCAACACTTATGGAAACCCCATTGGATCTGTTATAGCAGATAATAAGAGCAGCATGTAATGTCCTGATCCTATGCACATTTGCTGAGAAGTCAGTCCAATATTTGAGTAGACCTTTCAGTATGAGTAATCAAACATGTAATCCTATGACTTAGAGTAGTGATCCATGGTCATTTTTAAATGCAGTGTATTAGCTACCTAACTCAGAGATGAGATTTGAAAGCACAAAGGAATGAACTTGCAAATGTGTTTCCTTGGAATTAATGAAGAATTCCTTGTGAAAACTACAGCAATGTGAGGTTTTCAGCTCTTATAAAAAAGCATGCACACACACTCATAAGGACACACATATAAATTATGCTATTCTCCATGTCTCATTTTCTGTATGAGTGCTTTACTTCAAATGTGAGGACTTGCGACTAATTTTTAATAAGTTTATCAATTGTTGTTGAAGTAGCATTATAAGCATTATTTAGCATTATAACCATCAGCCTCAGAGAGAATGCTAGGAAAAATGCCAAAACAAAGTAAGAAAACCCACCCACCGTCAGCATCTGTGAAATGTACACAATTTTCATCTGTGATATGCACAATGTTTATTTACAACTGTGCTATAATTGCTGTTTCCCTATAGTAGAATCCCATGTTATAGCAGTAAAGGATAAATCCATTTCTTACATGGGAAAGGCAAATAATGCTGGGCATTATTGTAGCAACACATGTATATACAGAAATGGGTACACAGTGTGGCAAAGATATGATTATTTACACCTGTGTTATATGATTACTAGATTTAGATGTTATGTTGTAGTGTCGGATCCAAAGGAAGCCTCTCACTTACTGCAAACATGCTGTAAGATATGCACCATATGTAAAAAATGACAGCTTTATAAAATTGACAAGGATAACAGGCATCCAAAACAGAGTTGTGGGTTTTTAAAATATAGGATGAATACATCTTGCTTCCTAAATTTCTGGGAGGACATCCAAGGTCATAATCTGTCAGAGTTAAGCCTACTGATTTAGTGGATTTAAGCATCCTTTGTTCAATTGTGACCTGATTGTGTAAGTATATCTGTCTGCTATTAAAAGTCCCTAATAAGATCATGAAGAATGTAGATGGTAAAAATCTGACAATTTCAGGGAACGTTCTCTTTAGGACAAAGTGGAACAATGTATATTGTTTAGAAGAAAACTAGATGCAACTAGATACACCTTCTTTGAAGGACTTTAAAAAGTACAGATAAGAGAGCTAGCAAAATATTGGCTTAATCTGAACAATGTACCATTTGAGGACAGACACATTTTTCTCCCCAGGATATGTCCTTTGAAAAGTTAGTGTACTTAACACCCTAACTTGAATGAAGTTATAATTAGATTGAGCTGTTATCTGTCTGCATTTGATTACAAGAATGCAATAGTAGCTCAAACTTCTAGGTGTCTTCCGTGAGATGGCTGAACAGATATCTCCAGGAATGTGGCATATACTCATAAACATGCAACTAAAGCTGTAGGGTGAAATGGCAGCCCATAATACTTATGCAAGAGTAGATCCACAAATGTTATATAAAGTATCACTTCACTAAAAACTAAGCCTTTCCAGCTCCTCTAGAAACTACAGATGAAGAAATGTGATGATGGCTTAAATATTTATATATTAATTGAAATGAGTGAGATTCAGAAGAGATGACTAGATAGTAGGGGTATAGGAAATTCCAGAGGTCAATTCGGATTTCAGATAATTTTGGTGATTAGCAGCTGAACCACCAAAATATGGACCAGGAAGAACCCTGCCTAAGCCTTACCAGAACAAAATATGAACCACCAAATCTTTCAGCTAAATTTGCGAAGGATTTGTTGATTTGGACTTTTTTTTCATGATAGTAGAATGGGCATAATGATGATTGACAAGAACAACTGGACACATTTTTTTCTTTGTTAGCTTAGCCATAGCCAATAAGAAGAAAGTGGATCACATGGCTTTTTGCCAAGCTGGTCTATATATAGCCCATGCAGAGTGCCTTCATTTTATGGCATGGTGGCGTGTTGGGGAGGGAACGTGCAGCTTGGTTCACTTCTCTTGTTTTACTTCTGTTCCTGTGCAGTGCTGCTGCCTGTGACTCAGGATTTAGAGGGCTAGCACTAGCTTTCTGAAAATTAAATAAATTCTTTTTGTTTTATTTATTTACAGTATTTGTATACCGCTTTTCTCACCCCGAGGGGGACTCAAAGCGGTTTTCACATCATTCTTATCTTGTCTTCTTATCCAACTTTTATTTTCCAAATTCTGCTAGGGAGGTGTGGATAAGCATGCAGGTTTTTTTTTTGGGGGGGGGGAGGCCGTGAGTTGAAAGGCCGTTTTGAGTACTTTTATTTTATTTTACTCTGCTAACAGTACTACACTTGATTTTTTAAAAAAACTTTTGCTTTTGAAACTTGAAGTGCCAGTCCTACCAACTTACCAGTACCTACCTTCCTTGCAGTTTGTGTGTGTGAACTCCAGCACCAACAGCCTATTCCCCCCCCCCCCCCCCATCCCAATATGACGGAAAGACAAGCCTCGCTAGTTTCTCCATTCGCCTGAATGGATTGAATTTTCTTGAAATGGAACTCTGGATCCTAAGCTCCCATGATCTTCCCAAAAATGGAATTGGGGGGGGGGGGTACACCCAAAATTCAAAATGGAACAGATTTCTGCCATTTTGCATACCCCTACTAGTTAATACTAAGGAGCCGGACAACATGTCCTCTGGAAGTTGTCGAAGTCCAACTGCCAACAGCCCTAGCCAGCATGGATACTGTAAAGGGATGATGGGAAACAAAATGTTCACATTCCATCTCTGACTATAGTAATAAGAAACTAAGTTGCAAGCCAACTCTCCAAACAAGTGGTGACCTGAACAGAATAATATCAGAACCATTTCCAGCTGGAGTATAATTTTGATACTATTCATCTTCCATGAGGTCATCAGCTTTCGGTATAACTCCTTCCTACTCTTTTTCACAGTCAACAATCCCTTTCCTTAAGGTCATTTGCTATAACTTATGTTAGTTATTGAGATCTTTCTGACTTCTATATTCTTATCATTTCTCTAATGTTTTTCAACCACAAAGCTTAGCTGCAATGTTAACAATCATGTCTCTAATTTGTCTCAAAACAGACACTGAAATCATCCAGTGGAACAGCAGAGTCTTTTTTCAAGTCACTACTTTGTATAAACTGAAGTTGCTCAGGCCTAGGTTCCAGGAAATCTACCATATCCTGACAATAATCTAATTTTGTTTGGCACACACATTTATTATTCCTGCAGGGAAAGTGCTGACTGTTGGTCTTTTGCATTCTCTTGCTCTCCATACCTTCCCAGTAGAGACTAACCTGACCTACATTACTATCTGGTCAATCTCTGACTTGCCTTTAAGCAAAAGTGGGCAAAATGTGGCCCACAGGACACATGCAACTCCCGGGGTCATTTCTGTGGAGCCCAGATGGTTAAAAAAGGAAACATTACAATACTTCCCCTCCAAATGCCCTCTAGGAGTGGGGGGTATTTCCCCATGATTGAGGCCCACCTTTGGCCATGTCATATCCTGGATGGAGAAACAAGATGCGGACAGCAATAGAGACATCTCCACCCCACTTTTTGTTTAAAATAATACATCTCCTGGGCTTCATGTGGTCCACGAAAGCCCCCAATCAAAGTGAAATTTCTCCCATGTCCCACAAGGGCATTTGGGGACAAAAAACCTATTTTCTTTCAGGAATGGCAGGGAAGTGCAGTTCTTCAAGGCTAGACACTCATGGGGATCATGCTAGTGGGTTCCTCATGCCTTCTGCTGAAATTCTTTTCTCCCAAACTTGAGCTGAGGCATTGATTATGCTTCACTCATTTGAATTTTGACCATGCCAGTTCTACCTCCAATATGAATCAATTGCAAGAATTGCAAGAATTACACTCTAATATGGAGATTGTGACTGAAAGAAAATTTGGCTTCTGAAATCTCAGAACTCATGAGTATTATAAAACTCAATCACACCTTTATGGTGGTGAAAGAAAAGTTGATAATCATCTATAGGCTTTTGTTTGCCTGGTTCAAGGGGCATAAAAGAGAAATTTGAAGTATAGCATGCACCCCAATTGTCCCTGATTAATCCTCTACTGTCCCACATTTTCAGCTGATCGTCCCAATTTCTCTGAAAGCAACCTGCAGCAGCTTCTCCCAGCTTGTTTATTCTTCTATATTTAACACTTTTGCCATCCTGATTTGACGTTGCTTAACCACGTTACCAGGTTTTCATCTGTGAAATATTGAAGGTTATGATGTTGAATATTGGGTTTGCCTCATCCCAGGATTCAATAATGTAACTCTGATACTTGAGATATGCATTTTCATATTGGGAACTTGCCTTTGGATCATGTTTGCAATATGAATAAGAAAACTTAAATTGCTAGCATGCTCTTTCATGTCTCAAATGCTACCTTTCTTCCACATGTTCAT